GGGCAGGGCGGGGCCGCGGGCGCACTGGCTGCGGAGCCCAACCCGGCGGTCGTGCGGCGTCCATGGGGCCCACACTGCGCCCCCCTTGCTGACCGCACCACAGTAACCCCAGGAGCCTCCTTCCCCCAGGTCAGCGCGCCCCGTGGCGCTCAGGTGAGGCCGGAAGCCCAGCACTCGTGCAGCCGCACTGCAGGGCTGAAGCGGATGTGCTTAGAGGAAGGATGGAAATCCTGAAAGGACCGCTGTTTTAGTGGTGAAAAATCACCAACGATGAAGCCTTGCTGGCCCACTGCCACTAAGTATGACACACGCTGCTCACGTGAAGAAAGAAACCCGCCTCTACTCTGCACCCGAGGAGGCTGAGGCAGGAGGATGGCAACTTCAAGCCAGCCTGGGCAACTGAGCAACTCAGGGAGGTCCTATCTCAAAATATAAAACTAAGGGGCGGTGAGCTGGTCAGTGCAAAGGCCGGGTTCAATCTGCAGCCCTAAAAACCAGACCACACAGCGGTGGGCACTGTGGCCGCAGGGAGCCGGTCCAGCACGTGATTTGTTCGCCCGGGAGCCGAGCCTGCGCCCCACCCGCACACCGGGAGCGCTGGGGGCGGGCCTGGCCCCAGCAGCTCAAGGTTTAGCAGGGGCTGAACTCCAAACCGAGCAGATTTAGAAGTCCGGGAAGGCTCCGCTTTCAGGCACTGGTTTCCTCCCTCCACCCGCAGTAAAAACCACGCGTTGGTGCATTCTGCAAAATCCCAGCTGCAGCAGTTCTAGAAGCGACAACCTCAGGCACAAACCGCAAGGCCAGGCAGCGAGGGCAGGGCAAGGGCGTCGGACCTCCCGCGGGTGCCCCCGGCCGCGGCCACCGAGAACCCAGAGCCGAGGCTGCAGGTGTGCCGCACTTCGCAGCGGACGCGGCGGCAAGGACAGGACACCAGGCTCAGCAGACAGGCTTTTATGATTTTTAAGAACATTAAAGTCGGGAAACATGATTATTGGCCAGTTGCGAAAGCTAGTAAGTAAATTAGTTGGTTAGTTACTTACTGCCACCCTGGCAAACAGGCAAGCGTCCAGCGCCATCACACCCTCACTTGCCAACCGACAAGCCGACGATCAGAGCCAGCACAGCCACCAGCACCGCCAACACGGCCACAATTATCCACTTTTTCTGTCAAAGAAAAGCGAGTTGATTATACCGCACTGCAGGCCTCCCCTGACCGGAAACAAAGCACCCGCAGCATCTCAGCTTCAAACCCGCGCGGCAGGGCAGCACTGGGCCGGGGGTCACCTTTAGGTGTCAAGAAGTGACTCGGGGTCCAAGCCAGAGTGCTGGGGGCCAGGCCGCTCGACTCAGGCCGGCGCGGTGGGGGGGGGGGGCGCGGAGGGCCACACCCTGCATAAACTGAGCGGGCCTGGGCTTCCCACTTTCATGCTCCCGGGGCACCCAGGCAGGCGGCCGGCGGCAAGGAGCCTCCACAGGATGATTTTTAAGAATGAGACGGCCTCTCACCTTTCTTTTAATCAGTATCCAAAACCTGGAGGTGGTGCACGCATTCTTCCTACTCCCCTCCCTCCATCTCCAGCCCCTCCTTTTGCAAAACGTCCACCTCCCTGCTTCCTGTGCTCTAACTTTTATTTGCTCTTTGAATTATTTACACCGTGGCCTTCTCATGCAGGAGCGCCCGTGGGCTATCTAACTCGTGTGTCTGACTTATCTCACTAATTGTGGTCTGGGGTGCATGCATTTTCCCAAGGGTGCCTCAAACGTGAACCTCTTTATGGGTGAACAGCACTCTGCTGTACAGAAATACATTTTTATCTGCGGCTGGACATACAGGCCGCTGTGATTTAGCTACTATGAGCTGTACTGCTACAAACTTGGATGTGCCTCCCTCACTGTAATAGGATGTCTTAAACTCTTTCAGGAAGACGCCTAGAAGGGGAATAGCTGGGTCAAAAGGAATTTCTAGTTTAGTTTTTTGAGGACTCTCCATACTGATCTCCATAGAGGTTGTACTAGTTTACATTCCCACCAACAGTGTAGAAGGATTCTGTCTTCCCTGCAGCCTCACCAGCATTTATTATTTGACTTCTTGGTGATGGGCATTCTTTCTGGAATAAGACGGTGTCTTAGTTACTTTTCTCACTGCTGAAACAAAATACCCAATATCCACAGTTAAAGGGAGAGGTTTATTTAGCTCAGTCTGTAGAGGCTTCAGTCCATAGTCAGCTGGCTCCAAGGCAGGGTGGCACGGCAGAGGGGCGGCGCAGAGGAGAAACAGTCCATAGCAGGGCAGAGGGGCAGCGCAGAGAGGAACCGTCCATAGCAGGGCAGGGCAGGCAGAAGGCAGCAAGCAGCAAGTGACAAGCACGACAACAGCAGCCCTCTTTCAGCCCTCTTTCTGTCCTTTATCTTTTATCCAAGCTATACACTCTGAGGCTGGACAGCACTCACACCCAGGGCAAGGCACCCTTAACATAGCATCTCACCATGAATTACGGCCAGCACCACACCCTTAATCCCAGCATCACACACTCCAGATCCAGCTACCCCATGCAAAGCTGCACCTATGACCACGTGAGGGCTTGGGGGGCATCTGGAGACAAGTCATAACAGATGGGATCTCAGTGTTGCTTTAATTTGCATTTCTCTCATGGCCACTGATGTTAACCATTTCTTCATGCATTCATTGGCCATCTGTACTACTTCTGAGAAGTGTCTGTCTTTTTCAGTTGCCCATTTTTTGAAAGGGTCTTTAATTCTAGGAGGTCTGATTCTTTTTTTTGTTATTGTCTGAGACAGGGTTTCTCTATGCAGTTCAGGCTGGCCTTGAACTTGTAGCAATCTTCTTGCCTCAGCCTCCAAGTGCTGGGATCACAGGTGTTTGCCACCATGCCAGCAGATCTAACTTTTGTTGATGTTCTGAATATTCTAGGTATTAGTCTTCTTCCAAGGAGCAGCTAGCAAATTTTTCCCGTTCTGCAGGTTGTCTCTTCACTCTATTGTTTCCTTTGCTGAATTGAAGCTTTTTAACCACTTATCAGTCATGTAAATTATTTAAATACAGGGTGACCAAAAATTGTGCATTCTTTACTAATTTTATATTATAACAAAATATGAAAACAATTTTATCAAATTTACTCAATATAAGAATCGACTGTGTGCAAAAACACCTGCTGAGTGACGTTCGGGATAGTATGTGAGCCACCACGCTGCCTGAGTGACGCCGAGGTGACCCGCTAAGTGCCTGATGTGAAACAATCCACTACTGATTCCTTTGTTACTTCTTACGCAACTGGGGTCCTGTCCAGAACGCCTCCGCCTTTACCTACGCCTTCAAGTGCTGCCTATTTTATTATCTTCCACCAGATTGTCTGTTTTCATTATCTAGGTCTTTGATCTATTCTGATTTTAGTTTAGTGCATGGTGAGAGATATGAGTCCCGGTTCAATCTTCTGCATGTGGAAAAGACCATTTTCCCAACACCATTTATTAAGGGGCTGTCTTTTTCCCAGGCTGTTTTTAGCCTTTTGTAGCGATCAAGCAGTTGAATGTGCCTGGGATTGTTTCTGCATCCGGTATTCTGTTTATACTGATCCACCTGTTTTTGTGCCAGTACTGTGCTGTTTGTATCGCAGTAGCTCTGTGATATAATTTGAAATCTCGGATTGTGATGCCTCTTGCTTTGCTCTTGCTGTCCATAACTGCTTCTGCTATTCAGGGTCTCCTCTGGTTCTGTATCAATTTTGGGATGTATTTTCCTAGTTTGGTGAAGAATGCTGTTGGTATTTTGATTGGGATTGTATTAACCCTATACATTGGTTTTGGTAAGAGGGCCATTTTGACAATATTAGTTCTGCCTATCCAGGAATGGGGGCATCTTTTCTCTACTTTTCAATCTCCTTTGTCAGAATACTACAGTTATTGCAGTGTATTTCATTTTCTCATTAATGCCTGGGTATTTAATTTTCTTTGAGGTTACTGTGAATGGTATTGTTTTGAGTTCATTTTCATTGTGTGCATTGCTGGTATCCAGAAATGCTCTTCATTTTTTGTGTGGATTTTATATCCTGCTACATTCCAAAGTTGTTCAGGAGTTTAGGGGTCCCCTGGTGGAATTTTCTGGGACTTCCACGTATAGGATCCTGTCATCTGTGAGTCAGGTTCATTTGACTTCATCCTTTCCTATATGTATCCTTTTCCTTTCTTTCTCTTCCCCGATTGCTCTGGCTAATGTTTCAAGTACTATGTTGAACAGGAGTGGTGACAGTGGGCATCCTTGTCTTGTTCCTGATTTTAGGGGGAAGCTTTCAGCTTCTCCCCAGCTGGTATGATGCTGGCAGTACACTGGTCATAAATGGCTTTCATCAAGTTGAGATAAAGTCTTTCTAAGCCTATTTCCCTCAGGGTTTTATCACGAATGGGTGTTGGGTTTGGTTAAAGGCTTTATCAGTGCCTACTGAGACGATCATGTGGGTTTTGTCCTTGCTTCTGTTTGTGTGGTACATTATATTTACTGCTTTATTTATGTTGAACTATCCTTGCACCCCAGGGATGAAGCCAGATTGGTCATGAGGCAGACAGACAGACGAACAGATATGGGTTGTTTTTTTTTTTATTTTGACACAGGGTCTCACTATGCAGTTCAGGCTGGCCTTGAACTAACTGTGTAGCACAAGCTGGCCTCGAACTCAGGAGATTCCCCTGCCTCAGCCTCCTGAGTGCTAGGATTACAGATGTGCACCACCACGCCCAGCCATGATGTACACTTTTAATGACTTTTTGCATTCCTTTTGCCAGTAACGTATTGAGGATTTTTGCATCTATACCCATTAAAGAGGCTGGCCTATAGGTTTTTTTTTATTAAGTCCTGGTCCAGTTTTCGTATCAGGATGCTGCTGGCTTCCAGGAATGTGTCTGGCCATTCCAACCCCTTTCGGTGTCATTGAGGAGTTTGAGGACTGGCGCTGGATGTTCCCTGACGTTCTCGTGGGTTCAGCGGCGCTGCCGCGGCGTCCTGTGCTTCTCTCACTTGGAGGCTCCGAGCGCCTCAGCGGCACGGCCTGTCTCCAGGCTGCCCAGTCTCTCACGCTTTCTTGGCTCAGTTTTGGGGGTCCGTGTGTCTAGAACCCTTCCGTCTCTTCTAGATTCTCCATTCACTGAAACACAGATCTTCCAAGTAGTCACTTCGGAATTTTTGGGTCTCAGGAGTGTCCACTTCCACTTCCAGTGCTGTGGGTTCTTTCCTTCCTTCTCTTGGTAATTTCCGCTAGGAGTTTGTCTCTTCGTTCATCCTTTCAAAGGACCAGCCTTTGGGTTCACGAACTCTGTACTTCTCAGTCTCGGCTTCATTAATTTCCGCTCTGACCGCCACAATCCCCTCCTTATACTCGTGGGTTTGCCCTGTCCTTGTGTTCCCGGCCGGGAGGCACGCCGTCAGGGCCTTCGCGGGGGCTGCTGTCTCTGATACAGACCCCCACGTCGGTCAGCTTCCCTCTCAGAATGACTCCGGCGCGTCCCGCGTGCTCTGGAATGCGGAGCTGGCATTACCTGATTCTGGGAGCTGCTGGGCTTCCTGTGACACGCTGATTACACAAGAGCGTTCGGTTCATCTCCACATTTACAGAATTGCTGTGGTTTCTCTTACCGGGTTTCTAGTTTCATTTCACTACAATTTGATAAAACGCATGGGACTATTTAGGTCCTTCTGGATGTTTTTTCAATCAGATTTTACTGGTACATTTTAGAGATACATAGTGATCACATTCAGCACAGAGAATGTGTACCTGTACGTGACATAACCTCTTTCTTTTTCCCCATTCCCCTGCCCTCCCTTCAGCTCCTCCTCCCCGATTTACAAACGCTATGTTTCCATGTTCTCCTTGTTTTCTCAGTTTTCACTTTTCCCTTCTTTCATCCCCTGCTCCCTTGTCCCCTCCCCACTCGAACATTTTCTTCCTATTTCACAGTATCTATCACGCACTGTGGTCCTTATTTACACTTTTTGGTTTCTTGGACTGGGAAACAATGTGGTACTTATGCAGGGTGCCCCATTTATTTCACTGAAGAGTAGTCGCAAGGGGCATCCATTTAACTAGAAATGTCTCAAGCTTGTCCTTCTTTATGGCAGAGTACTACTCCATTGTATAAAAACTGCGCCTCTTCTT